ATGAAGATCAAGGTGAGGGATGCTCTGTGGTGGGGTGGCCTGGTCCTCGCAGGGAGAGGAAGGCCACACCACCCTGACCACCGCTCTCCCCCTGCAGATCATCGCCCCGCCAGAGCGCAAGTACTCGGTGTGGATCGGCGGCTCCATCCTGGCGTCCCTGTCCACCTTCCAGCAGATGTGGATCAGCAAACCCGAGTACGACGAGGCCGGACCCTCCTCCACCGTAAATGCTTCTAATGGGACTGCGGCGGTGCCGCGCGGGTGGCACTCGTGTCTGTGTGCCCAGGCAAAGCCCACACCTCATGCCAGCCTCCTACAACTGGAATACGCCTTCTGCAACAGCGCCCGCCCTTGGACACCGCAGCCGGCACTGGATGGTCGAGCTCTCGCTTGACTTGACCCTTGTTACTCGAGTCAGCCAATAATACCCTGTACCCATCGGCCCCCCGCGCCGCCCCGCTGCGTACAGGGTATTGGGGGGGCAGAGCTGCCGTGCATCCAGTGTGTGGATATTCCAGATTCCCTGTAGAGGCTGGTAGGAGTCCATCGGGAATTCACCTCTGTCGCTGCCGTTCTAGCAAGGTTGGGAAAACATATCGCGTCCGAGCCTTACGAACCAGCCTTCATCCTCCTCCTCCTCCTCCTTCCCCACCTGCATCCCACCCGACATCACGGGGCTGAGGTTCCTCAACTTGAGTTGCTGAAACTTTGCATTTACACCTGTAAATTTCCGCATTGTTTTAATTTATGTCAGATTTTTGTACGTTGCCTTAATTGTTCTCACACATGACGGTAGGAAACCAAAATTTGTAAACAAGTCATCGGGAAGTTGAGAAATTGTAATGCCCACAAACCACCTCATTGTGTACGGAAATAAACCAGCTGCAGTAAACTCCACCCCACCTCGGCCACGGGCCTTCCTGGGGCTGAACCTGTGTGTTAGGGGCTGAGGAAGGGGTGATGGGGCCTGTTCCAGGCTGGTGCTCCCCAGGTGGGAGGTGGTTCGGTGCCACTCTGTGTCCTGCCTCCATGGTGTTGGGCTGGTGCTGTGAGGGGGTTCCTGGTGCTCTCGGTGAAGGGGGGGTGCAGGATGGGGCAGC